TTAATAGATGAAATTAAATGGTAATTATGTTCCCAGGTGAAAAAAGTGCAGTAAAATATACTCCGTACACTTACATAATGTACTTGAGAGTTGGGGATCCAAATGCAAGACTTTATTTACATTAAAGTAACTGGCTACCTATTAAGTTCAGTATCAGTTACAAAATATTAGTACTTACCTATAAGCAGTGGTGGAAAGAGTACTGAAAAAAACTCAAGTAAAAGTACCATTACCTTCTAAAAAAAAAAATAAATAAAAAAACACTACTTGAGTAAGAGAAGCCTATTTAAAAGTACTCATGAGTATCGAGTAGTGAGTACTGAGCGGTGGATTCTACCCCCTCATAAACACTGTACACTGCAATTTATACATTTTAAAAATGTTGTACATTCTGTAATTCACATGATCTTGTTTGTCAAAGAATGAAGAATATTTATCATCCAGCAGTTTTAATTTTGACTGACAACTCTTTAAAATACATCAAAACAGCATTCAGTTGAAGAAAAGATGAAAGTTATTCTAAGTACAATCATCCCCATTTAAAATCAAAGTTTGAAAAAATAGATTTAAAATCGTGTAAGGCCACCGAGACAGCATATGCTGCACAAACTAGTAATGTTTAGAACAGTGCAAATACAAACACCATTAGAAACTCATAGTTCAGCACCACACACCGTGATATGGGTTCAAATGAGAGCCCATTTCTCTCCAAAACGGTGCCAGTTTTAGCATTTTGCAAAAAAGAAACTAAACTTGATAATTTATGTTACAATTTTAACAAATGCACATTGTTCTAGAAGGATGGCATCATGCCATACCTTTTACACATTTACTCGAATGGTTATGCTGATAATACAATTTATAAAGGAAAAATGCATTATATAGCGAAGTATTTCTGGGGAAACTTTCAAAGGAAAACACTCATGTCTCTTTGCTAAGCCGCGGCAGTCTCGGTGAATCAGCAGCATCCACAACTGAACGGAATAAAAAGTGTTGAACTTGAAAACTGTTTATGCGCGAGTGCACTTGCTAATTGAAGGTGGATTGTATAAAATGGATAAAAAAAAAAAATTTAAATTAACGAGCTGCAGTTTTATTACATCACGCACTGGCACAGATGCAGTATATCAACGCCACGCGTCATCAATAAGGTGCAGATTGGTCCTCAATTTGTTTCCAAAACTTTTTCACAGCGCGCATCACACACACGCAAACTCATCTAAAGTCAACAACAAATCCAAGTGACTGCTGCAGAACGCACGCGAGAGAGACACACGAGGCAGTGCAGATGGCGCGTCTCATAAGTGAGTGGGGAAGTTACAGAACGTGGCACTTGCGGGAGTTAACACTGTATGCAATACCTGTAACCTCACACCAAATTTCAGGCCATGTAGATGGGCAAGCATATATACAAATCATTTAGTAAGCAGAAATCCGAAATTTACCTTAACATTAAGTTAGAGGAAGATGCGACTGAATTGATGCTTGAAGAATGCGCTTCCAGCTGCCATGATAAACAGTTGGAGGTTAAAGTTTTCTATGCACAATTTGATTTGACGAAAGTCACAAGACCTATTACCATCTCTAGCCAATCACATTGATAGATAAAAATAAGCATGTAACAACCACAAACGGAGTAAAAGTACCGATACATCACTTAATGTACTCAAGTAAAAGTAAACAATTACTGATAAAAACTACTTACTGTAACGCGAGTATTTGTAATTCGTTACTTCAGGGAAGAGGATGTTCAAGCAGAACTCTTGGCACAAATGCCAATTAATGGAACTCCCTTTACAGCATCAGGGGCAATGGATTCCATCTTTAAAGCACTCAAAGGGAGCTCACAGCAGGTCTCTTTCAAAAAGGTTCATATTAATTTCCCCTACCGAGAAAAAGGGAGCCTTTGCGTCTGGAAAGAGAAATGGTACAGTAGGACTACCCGCTTACATACTCTCAAATCAAAATTGGTTAAACTAGGCAAGAAAAACAGAAGCAAGAACAGGCTTTTCCACCCCTGTTTATTCAAAACCAGCTAAAGTCTTGTCGCTCTTGACCCTAACAGGACCGAGTGAGGCCTTGCCTTCCCACTGAACACCTAGAGGGGGGGGGGAAAAAAAAAAAAAAAAAAAAAAAAAAAAAAATTTAAGAAAATGAAATAATAAAAAAACAACCTTCAAAAGTAAAATCTTCCTTGTTCTGGTAATCTCTTAAACATCAGGACCACACATTGAGTCACAGCAACCACAAGCCTGGTGGTTCCCATCAACAGCAAACCACCTGCAACAACAAATATCAGACACGGCACATTCAACGGTTTCTTAAGCAGCATTAACATACCCATTGGCAAAGGAACAGGATT